TTGCTATAGCTTAAGTTTGAAAATAGGGTAGACATATAATATATTCTATCTTGCAGAAATAAAGAAATACATAAACATTCACAAATTATATACTAAAAGACTTTTTACCTATAGGTTTAAGGTGTTTAAGCATTTTATTAGAAATTTTTAAAGATTTAGGTATTTTTTTATTGGAAAGCTGATTGATATAATACTATTCGTCAACTGATGGTATTATGGTCAATGAGTTATAAATATTTGAATTAATATTTGATATTAATTAATAAATTTATAGCAAATCATTAGAAATAGGTTTATCTTTATAAGTTGTACTAGCTATAAGTTAAAAATAATAAGTCACTTCTTTCTTAACATCTGATTTATCAGAGAGTAATATAAGTAAAGAACTAATATTATTAAGACACTTATTAAGGATAATGAGTTTCCTTCTTTTATTTAATACTAAGTTGATTATTTTAGCAAAATCAGTTTTATAGTTATTTATTCTATCTTGAAGAGCTTACTGAATGCTTAATAGTTTGAATTCTTATTCTTTATACTAGCCTTCATCTATAATCCAACAAGAAGCAGCTAAATATTAGATAAGACTGATCTAATATAAGTATTATTAGAAAAGGATTCTATAGAAATAGTATGCAAAGAGTATCTATAAGTAATATTCAAAAATTGATTGTAAAGATTGAACTATTTAATAAAGACTAAATTATCATTAAGACATTTCTTTGATGATTTAGAAAGTTTATGTAATGTCTTAATATTGATATATAACGTGAATAATGAGACAGGCTATTTGAAAAGATGTCAGACTTTAAATTTGATGATTGATATATACTTATTAGCAAATATTATTAAGGTATCTTAAAAAAGGTACTAGTAAGTGTTCAAAATACTTTGAAACTATATTATAAAAAAAAAATGCTTTTTAAAGCATAACTACTTATAGTATAATAAAATTTGTCTTGAAATTGGATCCATTTTTGCGAATTCATATTGCTAAAATTAAAGAATAATTTAGTAGGATATTTATGATTATTAGTAGTAATTTTTAAAAAGTTAACATATTTAAAGAAGATAATATAATAATCTGAAAGATGTGTATCAATGAATAATATATTTGCTTCAAGCAAATTTAAAATGAGTTCTAAGATCAATTAGATATAATCAATTTGTGAAGATGATTAGTTATGATAAAAGTAGTAAATTAAAAATGATTGGTATTATGTAAAACAAAGAATATATCAAAAAGATTATAGTGATTCAGCAAATTAATAAATGAAATTATTCATGATGAATTATTATTTATCTAATCAATATTGATATTGAAATCCTCAAAAAGAATAATATGATAATTATATTTAATAGCTTTATCAAGAAGTTAGATGACATAACTTAGGACTCAATTAAAAATATTATCCTTAGTTTTTTCTGAAGGGATGTAAATGTTAATAATAATAAGCTTTTGTTTATCAGTAAATTATAATTTCACATAAATAACTCAATTGAATTTAAAATCATGTTAAAAAATATACTTTAAGAATTGAAAAATAAAAGATAGACTAACACTGAAACTAATAGATTAGCTATCATAACCTTTACTGAAAAATGTTTGATAATAATTGAAATATAAAATTTTATTATATTTAAAATTAGTTTCTTGTAGTCTATTATATCATAATGGTAAATAGAATAAAGTGAATAAAATACATTTTATTTAATAAATTCATTAAACCCTCTAATATTATATAAGGTAATAGAAAATTTTTTATATTATTAGAATAGAAAGGATTAGAGGAGTCATTAAAATTATCTGTAGGGATAGTAATTATATAAAAAGATAATTTATTATGGAAAGCTTCTGATGCAGCATTTTTTTATTTAAATCTTTATTTAAAGAGTCAAAAATACTTATATTATATTAGTTAAGAAGATTTTTATTAATAAGCACAGTTTGAAAGTTGTGACATATTTTAAAAAGTTTATTGATAATTGGAATAAATTCAGAGATTCACTGTTGTTATTTTTGACAGATTGTAATAAGCTATTCATTGGTTTGTGATTATAAGTATGCAGTATAAAAAGAAGTATCAATGTACAGAAATTTAAGATCTGCTTCAGTAGCGGTCTCAGAAAGTGCATTATTATAGGTTTTAGCATCTTGTAAAGTAGTCACTTTGATATTTAATACTTTTTCAATAACAGTTGAGCAGTTTTATGAAAATTTGAATGTATTATAGAAGTCTTCAAGAGTGTTGAGAATAGACTCAAGTTAAGATGAGATTAAAGATAGTTTCCATAATTATTTTCAAATTTTAATTGAGTTACAACTTAATTACACCATAAGAAAATTTAATTGTATTATAAGTTACAACTTAATTGTATCATTTTTTTAATTTTGATGACTATCTTTAGATATGACAAACTTTTTAAAATTAGGATTATACATAGAGTTGTTAGTAGCAGTTTCATTTTTTATATTAGGAGTTGAACATATTATATTATTAAACAAGATTTTATTATCATCTATTAATTCATCAGCCTATTTTGCAATAGGTGGTTTGGTATTATTCTTAGTTGAGTTAGTAACAGGTTTCTTTGAAGGAGGTAGAAAAGCGGGTGTTTTATTTTGAAATTGAGGACGTTGAATATTAGAATTAGACAAGTTGACTGTGTTAGTAAATGTAATATTATTTCTATAGCTTCATAAAGTTTCTTGAATATAATATAATCATTAAATTAAGTAAACTAAAAATATTGATAGAGATACTGGATATTTCTGTCTTTAAATATGTTTTTTTTTTTGTAACAGAAAGATACATTATAATGAACAGACAAACAAATAATACAAATCTTAGTTTTAGCACTAGTTCATTTAAGCTTTTTATTATTAAGAGTTAAGTTATTTGCTTTAAAAGTAGCATCAGCTTGAGCAGCATTAGTTTCACTAGCATTATGAAAGTAAAAATAAACTTGCTGAAGGTAGTTATAATTTGATTTTGCTTATAGAACAATCTAAGCAGTAGCATCGATCATTTAGCTAATATTAAAAAAGTTATATGTAGTAGTTTTTCTTAGCAGATTTGTGAATTTAATAGAGAATTTAGATTAGTTTAAATTTTTTTCCTATTCAGATTATACATGTGAATATGAACAGAATCATTGATTAAGAGTAAACTATTAGTCTTTTTAAGTAATTTAAATTTAGCCTTTTTATTAAAAATGATGGTAGTATACTGTTATAAATTTTAGGTTTCTATAATGCATCTGATGATATTTTTATAACAGGAAAAAAATTTTTTATTTATATAATAGTAGCATCTATAAAATCTCAGTTATTGTAATTGACTGTGATAGAATGAATAGATGTATTTTTTATATAATAAGAGGTAAGAATGTGATCTTATTCATATTAGAAATCTGTATTTTACAAAAATTATCTCATTCACAAACATCTAAAAAGCAACTTTAAGAATGTTGATTAAGAGATCTGCAGGCGATTTTTACATATTACACCTGCAAATGATGTGTAATCAAATAACATTTATCAGTGATCTTAACAATCTTTATTAAAGGTTCACATCAGGATATTTTTAAGAAAAAAATAGGCAAAAAATTTTAACGTTGAGAACAGGCATAACAAATATAACAAAGGTATTATTGGTAATATTTTTTGATATGTCTGATAGATTATTGACATTCTTTTCTAAGATTTTTTTTTTAAGTTACAGTATCTGATATTAGGAAACCTATTAGTGATAGTACTATTGAGATATAAACCTTAACTCATCTAAGGATCCTCAAGGTTATGACTAGACTCAAGGTCTAATCAGAACTCATTCATAAATATTGATTTGAAGATTGCTACCTAGGTCAATATTTTCAAAAGCTAGCCTTCGAGGTCCCTAGACTTTAGAATCACTGTTAAATTTAGATAGAGGGATCACTTCAACCACAGATACTTTTGTCAGATTTTTCCTGTACTTACTAATATTATATCTGAATTACTATTACTTCTGCCTAGTATTAAGGTATATTTATACATGATCAGAAGGCTTAGATATTATCATTATTTATAGAACCTCAGAAAGGTAGGTAGCTATCATACCCATATTGTCAAATTCACCTAAGAATCAAACCTAACCTCTATTCCTAATGATAGCTCAATTGGATGATGCAGCAGTAGTATAATGCAATCTATTATTACTATAACCACCTGTAGGAGGTATCCAATTTACTAATTACTGGTTAACCACTTTTTTACTTATATAAGGATTCCTAAATTTGAAGACGTAAGACAGTATATATTACAGGCCTATCAGCAAAGGTCAAGTTTTTATCGATCCCTAGCTTCATTTGCATCTACTTATTTTTCAAATCTAGTATTAAACATAATCAACATTAATCAATAGATTAATTAATCAATTTTTAATGCATATTAGTATATATGCCTACATAGTTAGTTACATATGAAATTCTTATGAAAATCATCTAGTTTTATGCCTCAGCTGAAGCCTGAACTTATGGCTATCATAGTGTAATCCACAATAGAAGCTCAGTTATTGTCAACTGAACTAGAGACACTAATCTCTCTATCTAATTTTTTTAAGATTTTTTTTATTTTTTAAGATGTGATAGATTCGTAATACTTTATTGAAAATTAGTAAATTATATAAAATAAAATATAAAGTATAAAGTAAATTATATAAAATTACATTTTAAAGAAATTACAAAATCTTAGACTAACTAATCTATGATTAATTAAAATAAGACCCTATGAAACACCCTCAAAATCAATCTTAACCTAAGTTAAAAATATCATTTTTCAGAATTAACAAACAGAATAAAATAAAAAAAAAAAAAACAATTTATATTATGTTAAAAAGAAGTTATTTATGCCTAAGATAGTTCTATAAAAAAAGGATAATAGTTATTTAATTAACTAATTAACTGGAATGGAAAATATGAAAAGATCAAAGATTTTATCACATTTATGAAAATAGTGGTTATAGATAGCTGTAATAGTATTGGTGAGAAAGGTGATTTAATTGATCAAATATAATATGTTCAGCTGAATCATATTCACTATCTGAATCTGAAGGGAAAATAGTATCTACTATTTCAGTGATATAGAAAAATCCTTTATTGATATATGTTTTAAAATATTTAAACATTTCTTTCATAAATTGCTACATCTTATATAACATACTAAAAATAAGAGTCTTATCTTCTGTAATAAAAGGAGTATTAGGAACAGATGTTTCAGTTAGTGGTAGAAGTTTAAATTCTAAATTATCATCAGAATCTGAGAGAGAATCTTCATTATTAACCAAATTATCAGTCTTAACTCTATAATATCCTAGGTTAGGCCATTTCTTAATTTGAGTATAGGATCTTTTAAAATGGTGAAAACTTAAATAAATTGAGCAAGTTTTTTGATCAGGTAAAAGGATGAATAGTTTTTGATTGTTGTAAGTAATATTCTGTTTCATAAAATAATTAAAGTCATCACGTAATTCAAATCGTACAAATGTGTGATTTATTTTTAATTTCTTGAATTTATTAATAGGAATATACTAATATTTTACTTTAAAAAATTGAAGCATAGGTTCAATTTCTCGATTAGTTGAATCAGTTGGAAGGTTTGAAACTTTTGTGATAAAAGAGTGATGTTTAATCAATTTTTCATTGAAAATAATACAAAGTATTATTTGCATATGATTATCAAGAAAGCGAAACCCTACATGGAGTCTAATTCTGAGAGCTGTTCCTATTACTAGATAAGTAAACAAATACATTGTAATAAGAAGATTTTTGTTTAATTACTATTTGTTAGATAATACCATATCTTGATGCTATTGTTCTGATTATATATTCTGAAATTCTTAATGAAATATTAATAAAATGATAGGCTCTTTATATTATTTATGATAGAATAACTAAGTTATGTATATATGATACAGGGCTGTATTGTTATAGATTATTTAATTAGTATCGTCTAACAGAAGACTGTATTATTATAAATCTTCTGATTTAGCATTGATTGACAAGGAGCTTTGTTATTGTGAATTACTAAATTGAGCAAAATCCAATGGGGCTAATAATCTATGATATGAGTGAGATGTAATAGAATTCTGTTTACCATAATTTTCTTTTTGAGTATTATCCAAGGAGGAAAATATAAATAGAAAGAAAGACGAAGCTGAGAAGAAAGAAAAAATAGAAGTAGTATTTGTTGTAATATTGTTGTTTAGAGATGGGACTTAAAAATTATTTTTTAAGTTTTAGTACTTAATAATGTAACTTAATAAGGATCTTAAAAAAGATTTTCAAAAA